GTATGCAATAAGTCAAAATAATATGGAAAATAATAATTATCATACATTAGTGATACTTTCAGGGGGATCCCTTGGTCCATTTGGCAATCACCCTATACAAGTCAGAGCATTACATATGTTGTATAGAAGTATAACTCATAACTCAGGCTGTCAGACCAGGAAGTCACTGTAATGGCTGAACTGGCAGCAGAGCCTATAACTCACTCAACAAGAGTATTTGGAGGTGCAATGAAACATGGACTTTAACTCATGTTTTAGATTTTCATCTTGATGCTTTTAGCAACAGCTCCTTGTTTCACATCATGGTGGTACAGTTGACCATATGTCCAGTCAAAAACTACACCGTGAGGATACTTACTTAGGATATAGGGACACTTGGCTAGACTTCCTGAGGGTCATCCAAGTTGTATGGTTTCAACTAATGTAAAACAACTTATCATAACCTCTGTTTTTATTTTATTTCAGAAACACACAGTATAATATTTTGGTTATTCTCATCTGCATACTGTGATATGTGATTTAACTCAATTATTTTCGTTCATGAACACAAAATATAATATTATGTTGTTGAGGCCTAACTGGGACACCTTTAGTTAGCACAGTAGTGGGGTAAGCACTCCATATCTCCAGTTCACCCTGGTAATCAATGGAATTATGGCAGTGAAATGTAACTGGATAATAATGCTTATATAATTGTGCCTACGTGACACACAGCAGACATAATCACCAAAATGAAACAGACAGAATTATAGATGATGATGATGATGATGATGATGATGATGATGATGATGATGATGATGATGATGATGATGATGATGATGATGATGATGATGATGATGATGATGATGATGATGATGATGATGATGATGATGATGATGATGATGATGATGATGATGATGATGATGATGATGATGATGATGATGATGATGATGATGATGATGATGATGATGATGATGATGATGATGATGATGATGATGATGATGATGATGATGATGATGATGATGATGATGATGATGATGATGATGATGATGATGATGATGATGATGATGATGATGATGATGATGATGATGATGATGATGATGATGATGATGATGATGATGATGATGATGATGATGATGATGATGATGATGATGATGATGATGATGATGATGATGATGATGATGATGATGATGATGATGATGATGATGATGATGATGATGATGATGATGATGATGATGATGATGATGATGATGATGATGATGATGATGATGATGATGATGATGATGATGATGATGATGATGATGATGATGATGATGATGATGATGATGATGATGATGATGATGATGATGATGATGATGATGATGATGATGATGATGATGATGATGATGATGATGATGATGATGATGATGATGATGATGATGATGATGATGATGATGATGATGATGATGATGATGATGATGATGATGATGATGATGATGATGATGATGATGATGATGATGATGATGATGATGATGATGATGATGATGATGATGATGATGATGATGATGATGATGATGATGATGATGATGATGATGATGATGATGATGATGATGATGATGATGATGATGATGATGATGATGATGATGATGATGATGATGATGATGATGATGATGATGATGATGATGATGATGATGATGATGATGATGATGATGATGATGATGATGATGATGATGATGATGATGATGATGATGATGATGATGATGATGATGATGATGATGATGATGATGATGATGATGATGATGATGATGATGATGATGATGATGATGATGATGATGATGATGATGATGATGATGATGATGATGATGATGATGATGATGATGATGATGATGATGATGATGATGATGATGATGATGATGATGATGATGATGATGATGATGATGATGATGATGATGATGATGATGATGATGATGATGATGATGATGATGATGATGATGATGATGATGATGATGATGATGATGATGATGATGATGATGATGATGATGATGATGATGATGATGATGATGATGATGATGATGATGATGATGATGATGATGATGATGATGATGATGATGATGATGATGATGATGATGATGATGATGATGATGATGATGATGATGATGATGATGATGATGATGATGATGATGATGATGATGATGATGATGATGATGATGATGATGATGATGATGATGATGATGATGATGATGATGATGATGATGATGATGATGATGATGATGATGATGATGATGATGATGATGATGATGATGATGATGATGATGATGATGATGATGATGATGATGATGATGATGATGATGATGATGATGATGATGATGATGATGATGATGATGATGATGATGATGATGATGATGATGATGATGATGATGATGATGATGATGATGATGATGATGATGATGATGATGATGATGATGATGATGATGATGATGATGATGATGATGATGATGATGATGATGATGATGATGATGATGATGATGATGATGATGATGATGATGATGATGATGATGATGATGATGATGATGATGATGATGATGATGATGATGATGATGATGATGATGATGATGATGATGATGATGATGATGATGATGATGATGATGATGATGATGATGATGATGATGATGATGATGATGATGATGATGATGATGATGATGATGATGATGATGATGATGATGATGATGATGATGATGATGATGATGATGATGATGATGATGATGATGATGATGATGATGATGATGATGATGAATGTGAATGGTATTAGGTAATTCACACAGATTTTTAAAAGTAACTTATCTTTAAAAAGTTAAGATTCCTTTTGAAGGCCATTAAACTGTACAAGTTCATTCATAACCTTGGTCACTTTCTATTTGAAAACTTATTATATTTAAATCTGAAAGACAAGCTCAAGAAAGCATGATTTATGAGGGAGAGGGAGAGGGAGAGGGGGAGAGAGAGAGAGGGGGGGGGGGAGAGAGAGAGAGAGAGAGAGAGAGAGAGAGAGAGAGAGAGAGAGAGAGAGAGAGAGAGAGAGAGAGAGAGAGAGAGAGAGAGAGAGAGAGAGAGAGAGAGAGAGAAGGGGGGGAGGGAGAGAGAGAGGAGGGGGGGGAGAGGAGGAGGGGGGTGGGAGAGAGAGAGAAGGAGGGGGGGAGGGGGAGGGAGAGGGAGAGGGAGAGGGAGAGAGGGAGAGAGGGAGAGAGAGAGAGAGAGAGGGAGAGGAAGGGAGAGGGAGAGGGAGAGGGGTACGGGGAGGTGGTTGGGAAGGGAGATGGGAAAGGGAGAGGAAGAGTGGGAGGAATGGGGAATGAGGAAGGGTGAGAGGTTTAACCTGTTACAGACAGGCCATGTGCACTGGTGTCAATACAAACCACTTGGTCTGTGGGGTACACCTGTATGTGCAGCAACGCACCAGAGTGTGTAGAGTGTGACATTCTGCTTGATGTAGCGGACTCCTATGTCCAGTGTCTGGGCACTGCTAGAAATCACCAGTTTATCATGATTAGGGATTTCTGTTACCTGGCCGTAATGGGTTATGGGAGAGGAAGAGAAAAAGATGCTTTAAAATACATTAAATTCATGATTGACGCAAGTGCAAGATTTTGAAATATTTATGAAAACTTTTTTTTTCTATTTTCTTGACAATGGAAATTCCAATCAATAAGTTATTACAATCAACAGCATTGAAAGACCTTTACAGAGATTTTAAAGCAATTTCTATTGGTTGTGTAAATGACAGTAAAAACTAATTTCTGGAAATGAATATGACATGAATGTTACTATTACCATGTGGTAAGGGTAATAGTAACATTTATAGTACTAGTTGGTATGTTAATAATAATGGGAAAGATGAAAAAAAAGATAGGTATAAAAGGTTGTGGCTCATGATTGTAATAAAATAAATATTTAATAATGACAGCAATACCTACAGCTGGTAATATCTGATTATTAACTGGGGAAAATATAAGATGATGTCAAAATAAAAGTAAAATGTAACAATTGTACTAATGACAACGATGAACTGAACATGAAGTTTACATTGACTGATACACATTATAACTGAAGAGTGATAGCCAGATCCTCTTTAATATCATTCCATAAAAATGAAATTATTATTACAAATTTTACAACAGCTCTCTCATTTTCTAAAATTTCAATACTAGGAAAGAATTTTTGTCCCTTGTTCCAACTTTTACCTGAAGAAGCCCTAGTAGCTAGTACCAAAAATAATGGTGATGGTGATAATAATGATACTGACAAAGACCATGGTTATGATGATGATCATGATAATATACAAACTAATTATGACAATAATGATAATTTTAATAGTGATAATAATAATAATAATAATAATAATAATAATAATAATAATAATAATAATACCAAAAATAATAATTATTATAACCACAACAACAACCACAACAACAATAATAATAATAATATTAATAATAATAATAATAATAATAATAATAATAATAATAATAATAATAAAAATAATAGTAATAACAATAATAATGATAATAATAATAATAACAATAATAATAATAATAATAATAATAATAATAATAATAACCATAATAATGATTATCATTGTCATTATTATAATAAAAAATAATGCCTGATTAGATTTGTAGTTCTAAAAAAACAATAATAAGAAGAATAATAAAAAAGTAATAAGACAAAAATAATTTTCTTTCATCACTAATAATAATAATACCAGAAATATAATAATAATAATCAATAATAACAATAATGATCATGATGAAAATGGTAATACTTAAAATAATAATAATAATAACAATAATATTGATGATGGAAAAGGCATATGACAAATATTATCAATAGGACTACTATTGAACATAAATACTACTAGCAAGCTTGAAACTGTCTTGAACTATAATAACCAAAACACCATACAATAGTGAATCTTTCCAATAATTACATAACCTTTCCTCCTGTAATCTAAACATCACTTGGGTGTCTCAGAATGAAATGAAATACAGAAAACATACATTTTATTCTAAGTAACAGTTATGATCCTTTCTTAATTCTATACCACCAGTCTTTTGTGTAAAAAGGTCCACTTATTGTCATATTCCTCTTCAAAACACTTGATAGCATATTTGTATATTGTTACTTATAAATTTATAAAAGGGGTTCTATTTCTTATTTCACCACCTTAAAAGATATACTATGCATTACAAAAATCATTTTACCACTATAGGAGTCAAATATTCATTTTACCACTATAGGAGCCAAATATTCACCATAAACTTTTGTGGCACAGTTGTCAGGTTTCACTTATATGACTTCCATAATGAATGATGTATAAAATTCACTTTAACTCTGACCTCTACAATGCATCAACAATATTGCACATAAGTCTATCTAAGCTGGAACATTTATCTTCTGCACTGCTGTTTGCATCTGTCTTTGGCCTCAGCTGCAGTTCCTCAGGAGTAGGTACTAATAGCCTTGAATCTAACTCTAAATTATCTGGTAAGGAGGCAAGGGCTTCTCTCACCAATCTTCTTACATCATCTTCTTGTCTTTCAAGACGTTCTGCAACCTAAGAAAAAAAGAGAAAGAAATTAGCGTCCAGAATACAAAAAATAAATATCCCAATTAATTTCCATACTTACTGTCATGTAACATAGTTTGAGCAAGTGCTAAGCATATATAACTTAAAAAATTATAAACAGACTAAAGTGAATCTGATTTCAATGTCTTTAGTTTAATTCAAATCTGGATCAAGTTTCCAAAATGTTTCTCAGGCACTATTTACATATAAACCTTTGAATCTTGTGTTTTCCAACAAATTTTCCAACTAAGTCTCACTTGTTCACATTTCCACTTAATAATGTTAAAATAGGACATTCTAATTTGATATACAAAACAGACATACATAGGGAGCTGCACAATTTTTGAAATGTTAGCTACATTAAAGGATGTTTTCATTTCAAAGTTCAGGTATCATGGGAGGAGGGGATTACTGCCATGCATGTCCCTTTTTTACACAAAATAATGGTTAAAGGTTACAAAGCAAAATGTGGTAGACATTAAGAGTCATATAGAAGAAATAAGTAGTATTGAAAGGGGGGGGGGAGGGATACAGTAGTTTAGGATAATATGGTACTGAAAGTGAGGGTAGTGAGCATGAGTAAATGGTTAAGGTAGGGATTAGCAAAAGGGTGCTTGGATCAAAGCTGTCAGAGGAAATAGTGTAGGATTCTGCAAGGATGTCCATAGGCTAAGGTTGGGATTAGTGAAAGAGAAAAAGGAACAAAAGGGAGTTACATGTGTATCCATGAGGGAGTAAAAGGGATACCAGGGAAGGAAGGGGGGGTGATGGAAATGAATTATGGAGGGATGGGATGTGTTGGGAGGGAATGGGAGGAAAAGGTGTAGGGAGAACATAAGCAGGTGTAGGATGGATGTCGGCAATCATTTGAAGTGTACAGGGAATGGGAGAAAAGAGATTGGAGGATGGACAAAGTATAGGTGTTATACTGGGTCATGATTAGAGAGTTTGAATGTTATCAAGAGTTTCTGAAATGAGGTTGGTTGGGGAGGAAATGAAGGTTTTCCTATGATAGGGAGAAGACAGGACAGACATTTGAGGGGCAGAGGAAGAGGTACATGCAGAAGAGGATGCTGTAGGAGAAGATGGGGTGGAATGTTTTGATTGTCTGATGAGACGAGTTGAATGAGGTAGAAAAGGGGTAGGCACCAGGCACGTAGAGTTTGAGTGTCTGGATTTAGAATGACAAAAGAATTTGATTGGGAGAGGGAGGGGGTAGAAGTAGGAATATAAAGAGTAGGAAGAGATACTGGAGATGTAGAAACATCTTGGGAAAAGACAGAGGATCAGGGCAAAGGAAAAGTGAAGCCAAGTTTGAATGTGAGGACTATTACCTCAGACATGGACTTGTAGGTAGGGCAGCCCATAAAATACATAATGGGAACCACCACAATTGGCACATATATGTGATTGCGCAGGGCAGTTTGAATGATCATGTCCAGGTTGGGTATATAAAGGGAAGCAGGCTGTGGAGCAACAGCCTGCTAGAAGGGTAGCTAAAATGCCAACGCTTCTGACATTGACTGGGGAGGGGTTGATATAGTTGGACAGGGCAGGAGTCATCACCAATGTAGTCATGTCTATGGAAGGTAATATGGCAATATTGTTGTAGGATTAATGTAGCACAGTGCTGATACTGCATCATAGACAATATGGCAGGCAAGCTGGTTGTCTTCACAGTCGGACCAATCCTTGTCACAGACAGGGTAATCAGCTAGGAAGATGGAAGCAGTTTCAGTACTAGTATTAACTCCTTGGATCTGGATGCTTTGCTGCCTGTACATAGCCCAAAATATGGGAATTAGGCTTACTTGAGTGGCCACTCTACCAGGTGTGTGGCTTCTAGACTAGGAGCACATGAACACTCATGTGCAGTGACAAGACTCCAAACTTTCCCTTTGCAATGTTATTTTCTCTTATTCTTTAGCTTTTCTGTCATTTTCCAATGTCTATATTTGTCATTTGATTTGCTTTACCCAGACAGTAACAGACTCCATATCATCTCTCTCGGTCATTCATAAATGTGAATATTAATAACAAAAACTAAAATTTTGTGACTTTTTTTTACTAAAATTCAATTTTCTGTAATACAACCTGCACTGACAGTAATGGTGGGCAGGAATAGGATCTTGTGCAATGGAAAAAATTTCCACCCTGGAGGTGGCACAGTTATGGCCCACAGATGGTACATTCCACTCACTTATCGATAGAAATAATGCTAAAGCCCCTTCCTAAATGCCTAAGAGCTTTGTGCATTCATTACAAGTCATTCCTGCCACCATAACCTTCAGCCAAAATTCTCATGATGGTAAGTTCTGTTACCCTGGCCCTCAGCCAAATTTTTTCATGATGGTATATTCACATCCCCCACCCTCAAACCAATTTTATTCATGACATGATGGTCTGTGACAAGGTTTAAATGATCAATAAGGCTGTAGAAAGAAACTTTGACTACTTGTTTTTGGAGACACTGTTAGAATAGGAAGACATTGTCAGAGTAAGGAGCTGTAGAGGGAATAAAAAAAATCAATCCCACTTGGCTGGTTTAAAAAGAGTACTCAAAAGATTTGTAAAGGTGGTCCCACTTGAAGGGCGAGGACTGGAGGAAGAAGCTGAGGTGCTGAATGAGGTAGCACTAAGGGGAGGTGGACAATAAGGATGTAGAGTAATTAATAAGATAGGATAATGTTAAAATGAAGAAGAGGAAGAGGAGATTGAGTGAAGGATATTGGGAAGAGAAAAAGAATGTTTTCTGAGGGTTGGGTAATGACCTGGGCAGGTGCTTTGGAATGGATGAGTTGACAGCAGATATTGAGGAGGGGGAAGCAGTCATATTCAGAGCATGATCAAAAAAGAACATGGGTTTGGAGAACTGGAAAAGTTTAATCCAGTGACGGTATTAGACATCTCTCAGCATCATACATTCCAGTGATTTCTAGCAGCCAATCAGCTGCTGGGAGCGAGAGTCTGCTACATGTAGCAGAACATTCCACTTATCAAGCTCTAGCATGTCACCACATGCATAGCTGTACTCAGCAGATCAAGCAGTTTGTTATAACTGCTATACACGTGACCCAGCAGTAACAGGTTAAGGTGGAGGTGGGACTAGAGGGTAATTTGGAATTAGCTAGCCTATGGTATACATACATGAATGAGAAAACTACCAAACAACTGTTAGAGCCCACCTCATATTACTTTTTGAGAGGAGCAAAGGCAAAAGCACCAACAGGTAAATTACATAGGCAGGTAATTAGCACCAGATACACCTGTATGGACTTTTGCTAATGTAATCTTGCATACAGCATTTGATTTCGTTCTAATTATTGTTACTGTCCACTGTTGTTAAATTTGTTTTGATTTGAAATTGGTAATTTCCACTGTAAAGAACACTTCAATATGAAGGGCATTTTGGAGGTGCAGGGTGTGTCCAATACAGGAAATGGTGTAGAATTGTACTGATACTGTATCACAGTCCACAAGACAGGTGAATAAGTCTTCTCCACAATCTGACCAATCATTGTTGTAGACAATGGGCAGTTTGTTGGGGAGATGGAGACAGTTCCGGTGCAAGTATGGATGGAAGGATGAGGCGGGCAGGAATGGCTTTGCTAGTGAAGTCAGTCAAGGTTGATATTGCTTTAGCTTGGGATTCGGTTGTAACTGTGATAAGGCTTGTATGCTCGGGGCGGCTGCAGAAGGAAACTTTATTTTTGGAGGCACTGTTGGAAGAGGAGAGTGTTGTCAGAGTAAGGGGATAGATTGCATCACATTTGGGTGGGCTAAACAGAGTACTCAAAAGATTTGTAGTGGTGGGGGTAGAAGAATGGGCTTTTTGGAAGAGAGAGTGGCATTGAGTGAAGTAGTACTGCAGAGAGGTGGACACTAAGGCTGCAGAGTAGTAATAAGAGTGGAGGGGGTCGTAGATGAAGAAAGCTGTGGGGGTGGATGAGATGAAGTAGATGTTGGGAGAGGAGTTATGTTTCCTGGAGGTTGAGTAATGACCTGGGTATATGATTTGGACTGGACTGAGGTGATAGTAGGCATTGAGGAGGGGGTAATAGGAGTGTTCTGAGTCATGTTCAAAGGAAACCCTGGGGTCAGGGAATCGGCAGATTTAAAATCAGTGGGGCTAGTTGATAAGGGGCAAGTCTCACTGCCCCTAATTGGGGTATAAATTTTTACTACTTGCCATGGTAAGCCTGGAGTATGTTGAGGAGAGAAATGGTCCATCACTCATGGGGACCCCGAGGGGTGGACCATTTCTAAACAACTAAACTGGGGAATACCATGCCTATGGCTCTCCTAGGCCGTCAGCCTTTCATTCTTTCAACACAGCTCTCAGACCTTTGGAAGTGGATAGTATAAAGGGTTGGAGAAGAGAAGGAAAAGGAGAGGGGAAGAAGAGAAGACTGTAAAATT